ACTTTAGCTAAAGCCAGTGTTTTCCTTCTCAGTGGAAAGGAAATGATAGTTTTGGCTTCCTGTAACATATTGTTCATAAGTGCTGGCTAGGAAATCAGGGTGCAATCAGGTGTGAATCATGTGTACATTTATCAGAATTTAGTCTTAAGTTACACACACAGGAGTAAAATCAATACCATTAGTAACAAACAAATCATTCCAGGTCCCAGGAGTTCACATTTCAAGGTTATAAATATGATTTATAATTAATTTACGTTGAAGTAATGGACAGGTAATTGCTTGGGTGCCATATGCCGTAATAAATAGAAGGATCGCCAGGGGAAAAAGACACAAGAGAACTAATGGAGGTTTAATTGGAGATGATAACTGACAGGATATTTTCTCAGAGGTGTAAATGGAGTGTTTTATTGTGGCTTAGACCAGTACATCCTGCATGGGAGGAAAAAAAGATATCCCAGGAAATGAAGGTCCTCTCACAGACATTTAACCTGTTTAGCCAAACACACCAAAACGTTAATATTTGAGATTGTGTTCACGTGCCAAGAAATATTTATGCATATAATTTGATGCACAAGCAAAAAGAACCCTCCCTCTGCCCTGAGCTGCATGTGATTCAACCATATGGAGCTTTTGGTAGTGTGTGGGCAGGCTGATTTGACACCAGGGCTGTGGAACACACAAGCTTGCCTTAATTGACTTATAAAACTGCCTAAAATGCTGTTTTATGGAGCCATTTTCAGACAACTCTCACAGGATTTCATATCAAGTCATAGTTTGTAATAAAATGTGTGATGGGCACACTTTATTTTCCTGGCCAAGTTCTCATAAACTTTAATCTTTCATGAGTAAAAAAAAAAAAAGTTGGCTAACCAGAGAGATAAAGTGTCACTAAATATGCACTTTAAATAGCATATGGATAACGGCATTAATCCATGGTCTGCGTGTGGCAAAGACTGGCTACAGGAATAATGGAGATAGGGTTGGGAAGTCAAACTGACAGTTGTGAGGATATAAATGACCCTGCATTCTTTGTACACTGACAGCTCTGGCTTTGGTGATACTTCTAGTAGGCCCCTGCGATTCCTGCAACTGTGGTCTTTGTTGTCACAGTCAGCTTGTGTTTCCCTCTGTGGCCGTTCCAGGGGGCTGGCCGGCCTGGGCAAACACCAAGGGAGACGTGATGTATGGCTCCCGGCCAGATCAAGCTTAGCCTCTGCAGGGTGCTCCCAGCAGTCGAGTGGAGTTGAGTCATCCCTCAGGCTGCAGGGAAACGAACAGACACACTAGCTTTGACTATGACAGGAGCTGAAGGGGGGATGTGACTTTTCACAGTCCTATCTAAACCCAGGCAGGGCTTGGACTCCAGACCAACCTGCTAAATACCAGAGCCAGGTGGACGACAAGATGGAAGAGATGAAGCCTTTTTGAAGCGTGACACTGAATGCAGAGCGATTCACTGAAGAAAACGTTGAGGTTGAGGTTAACAGCAGCCTTAAAGGAATAGTTCATATGAGTAGTTCAGAGAATCATTCTTTCAACTGTTGTGGGTGACAACTTTCAACTCCTCACATACATGTTAAAGAGAGAGTATAAAACATAGGGGTGTGCAAAAAAATCGATTCACATTTGAATCGCGATTCAATCTTTACCGATTCAGAATCGATTCATAGAATTCGAAAAATCGATTCATATTTTTTTTTTTAATGGCGTGCACGGGCGGAGTGGCAATCGGGTGAGTCGGGACTTTTACCGGTGGTTCGGTAGTGTTTCAAGGCCGCGAGGGCCGGTCTGATAAATAGTTACATTGCAAGTTCTTGCCGCCCGCTGGTCAAACTGCAGCCTCTCTGCTCAACCCGTGAATAAATGCATCGAACCGCAGATCTTATGTTTGAGTTCTGTAAATCTTTTGCCAAGCTTTTCAGAGGTTACGGGTTCTAAACCGCACTCGTATAGTTTTTTCAAACCGCACTCGTATAGTTTTTTCTCTCTCTCATCAAAACTGATTTCACCGGAGTCTCCACAACGGCGATAGATTGAAGCGCGTGTCCGAGTGAAGACTGCGCGAGCCACAGAGAACACTGTATCCGTGACACTGATAGCAGCGGAAAACGAGCGCGCAGCTTGATTTCAAAAACAACAGATCTCGTATTTAATAGCGAACTAATGAATGCTCTGCTAGTTAACTGGAGATACCCGCAAATTACGCCTATGAACGACTTCACTGGATCTAAACAAATCAATCTAACCATAGATGTTACCAGTAGCGGTGGCTTTTTAAAATAATTTCGCAAGGGTTCTATGACATTAGTATATATTTTTAGGAAGTTCAATGTGCCCAGTCGAGTTCACATTTCAACAGTCAGCGTGGTAGCTGAAGTAGTCCTTAAACCACATTGTTTGATCTGACTACAGCACTTAAAAGCTAAATGTAAAAGCTTTTTATTTAAGTTTTATTTTAAACTTGAATTAAATGTATTTAAAAGCTGGCCAAAGCTTGGCACTTTGCACTTTTTAGTTGCAAAAGTTTTTATTTTTGTATGAAAACATATAAAGTAATATCAAACTACATTTAATTTGTTGTGAGTTTTTTTTTCTTTTAAATTGTGTCTACTGCAATCAATCACATGGAAAATGTAAACTACATTTATATACTGCAAATCGTTTTTTGAATCGAGAATCGATTTTGAATCGAATCTTGAGACAAAAAATCGGTATCGAATCGAATCGTGACATTTTCTGAATCGTGCACCCCTAATAAAACAGGAAAAGAAAAGAACAGCATGCATACAATAACGTAAACCATAAAAGAAGTCATCTTACAGGCACATCAACATTCATGTCATGAACAGTATGTAACATTAGGTGTTCGTTACAAGCTTCACTTCTTTACCTTCTTCAATATTCTTAAACGGGCTTATTATTTATGCAACGTCAGAGACTGATATCCTTAGACAAGAGCAACCTTCTCTAAATGTCCTTTCTTAGTGGTGAAACAGTGGAGATTGACTGGTTTACATGGTCTGTCATTACCAGGGCTCTCTGCCAACAGGATACTAAGATCAGTTGCTCTTGGGAGTCAATAAGTGTGGTGTGTGCGTGTATGTGCATGCATATATATATATATGTTTTTTTTTGTTTTGTTTTTTAACAAAGTGCCTCAGGGGTTTGTTCTTGGTCCAGGTATGTTGTGCCACACCCTTATCAGTCATACTATCATATTTTACCAGTGATGTATTCACTTTATACTCAAAATTATGAATTGCCCGTCTATCAAAATGCCCTATTTGCTTCAAAAGAAGTCTGATGCGTAATTCACATTTTATAACGAATCATGATAGAGCTCACCTGGCCATTTTAATGAGAGATGAATCCAGCTCTGTAGCCCGTGGTGGCCATGTCAAGGAAACACGAGTTGATTGCACTGCATATGCAGAGCATATTACATTTGACAGTAAAAACAGTGATTGTGGAAGAACTCTGTGTGAGAGGCTAAAGCTAATGTACTGACATCTAAGATGATGGAAGTAAATAGATGTCAAGATGGATTACACAGTTCCCTAAAGCCTTTTTTGTCACATGCAAATGTTCATACAAACCATCTCTGAATTACATACAGCAGTGCACTTATGTGTGTTATGTATGAAGGAGATGAAAGGTTAGGGTGAGGTTTCTTTGTATATGATGCAGATTAATTGTTTGTGCCCTTTAATTTTGGGCCTGTACTAGGCTTGCTGCAGTAGTCGGTGTTAGTTCAGCCATTTAGTTCAGTTGGACAATGGACGCTACAATTATAAACTGAAATTGTCTGCTCTGCTCCATACAGCACAGCAAGAGCATCATTGAAATCTTGTAAAATGTGCGGTCAGTACCGCTGCTCCCTATATACAGATTACTCGTGATCACGAATTCGAAAGTGAAAAGCAAGTGTGCATTCAAAAGCGATTCAATACCCGCATATAGATAGCGGCTCCCTGATGTCCGCAAGTTATAGGCCTATAGACAGAGTAGGCATGATAGCAAATTCAACAGCGGAAGTGAAAAGTGATATAACATGATATACCGGTGCGAAATTTCCTCACCGTGACATCCCTAGCCTGTACCATGCAATAATGAATGCTGGGTGCACAGGGAAAAGAATCAAACAATCAGGGTGTGGGTTTTATTTCAGAATTGGTTACCTCTCTAGGACATTACAGAAGAAAAAAAAATCCAATAAAAAACTGCAAAAAGTCATACTTTCCTCAATTGCCATATCTGAGATCTTATTTTTGACTACTTTTACTTTTATGAATATGTTTAAGCGAGGGAAAGAAAGCCAAGTAATGACCTGTGATTATCTATTCCTCCATCCCCAAATGATCTTTATACAAAAAGCACTTCTAGTCTCCCTGGACTTCTAACAAATTTTTTTTTATATAGTGTCAGCTGCTGAAAGTGCCCAGTTGAAAAGCACAGAATGCACAGATTTTCAGACCAGAGAAATGATAATTTTCTGCCAAACTCTCAGCTGCTTATAGTCTGGCCACAACCAAAACACTCTTAGCCAAAGTAAACCTGAATATAAGGAATGTCTGGAGCACCCAAAGAAGGTCATACACAATTAAAAGTATTTTAACTGAATATTTTATGAAGTAGTATCTAGTGCAGTACATTTTGTTTACAGTTTCATGTTTTAAATTGCAATTCTTGTTGACATATGTGAATGAGATGTAGACCTTCTGTATATGCAAAAACTGATGCAATTCTGCCCTCTTTAGGTGAGAAGTGAAATTGCTTGTCTCAGTTTATATCCCAATGCTACAAAATAAACATTTTACCACCTGAGTGAAATTTCTGCAGTCATATGCAATTACAGTTCACATTTATTTATAATGATTGAATTGTATAGTGTTTTTGTTAATAACATTATTTCTCTGTAGCATTAAGTAAAGCAATATATTACCTAATGTGAAAATTAAAGTAAGAATAACATTTTCTCATCCTTTCTCTTCTATTTTCAGATCACAAAAATGACATGAACATTCCATCATCAGGGAAATGAAGAAATAAGAGAGAGGGAATAATCCTGTACATCAAGCTTCTGTTCCTGCAGGTCTGTTGATTCTGACTGAAACACAATGTGTCCATGTCACAGCCTGTGCAGATAAGGACCAGTGTGCTGAACTAGCCACATTGGCATCATGACTGAAGAGACTAAACAGTCCTTGGCTGCCAAAGAGCTGGATAATGAGTCCAAAAAACAGGATAAGGGGGCTGTGGAGCACAAAAGCTTAATAGAGTCCCCTGAGCACTTTCAAAATGTGAGTCTGGAGCCACAGGCTGTGAACAATATTGCTAAGTTTGCAGAAAAAGAGAGGGACAACACGCAGCAACGTGAGGCTGTAATTCGCCCACAGCAGGCTGGAAAGATTGATTTTAAGTCACTGCAGAATCATTCGTTCAATAGCAACAGGACATGGCCCAGCGGCAAGGACAGCCCTCAGTCGCCAAGTGGAAAGAGTCGCAATAGAGACAAGAGTAGAAAGCCAGGGAAAGAGCGTGGCAACCCACAGCAGTTGTACAGATTGAGTATTACTAATCCACGCTCAAATCCCACAATTGGGATAGCCTATCCCCAGCAGAAAGTCTCACCTCCAAAGAAGCTTGAGTCCAACAGAGGTCCTGTCTCAGGCAGCTACCGCTTCTATGTGCCAAATATTCCAGAGCGAGAGGCCGAACTGCAACAGGAAGAACTACAGTTCAGGTGCTTCCATGAGGGCTCACCTAACCTTACTTCCCAAAGTTATACCTCACAGGCTGTTGGTGCCACCTCTGTAGGACCTGCTCACCAGAACCCACCATCTACTCCGCAAAAGAAGCCCAGCCCAATCGAGAGCAACAGTATACAACCTGCCAATGAAACTTTATTCCCTGACTTTCAGCTGAGTAAAACAGACACGTGGCAGTCTCCAGATAGGACTTTCAGAAACACTAATTTTTCCCTTACTTCACAAAAGCCAAACAACCTTGGGGACTTGAACAAGACCAATGGAAGTTTTATGCCTATGCCATTTCAGTATGGATACCCATTGTTAGAGGAGTCATCCTCTGATTCCTTTCCCAGTGATCGGAATACACAGCCTCAAGACTACAATGATATTTCTCTTGCTTCTAACCAGGTTTCCCATAATTCATTCTCCTTTCCATCCTCTTCAGAGGGCCATGAGGCCATGCAAACTAGTGCACAGTTTGGTAATGACCAGGTAGAGGACAGGCAATCATACCAGTTACACCATAAACCACCCCAGTACATGCAGACACCACATGGTATGTCATCTTCTGTTCCCAGCAATGACGAGAGCTCAGCATCAAGTACTCTGCTAACAGAGCAGAGTAAGAGTGTTTCAGATAAATCTGAGTCTTTTAGTCCAATAGACAGCAGTGACACAGGTTTTGCAATAGTGGGCAAGAGAGGCTGCCATCTTAAAAATGGCACTCCCAGCCAAAGAGTTCTTATTCAAGGCAGTGTTCATCATATTAGAAATATTGCACAAGGTTCAAGTTCACAAGTACATGTAATTAGCCCCCCACATAATGGTATTCACATCAGCCCAGGGCCTCTTGACCAAAGTGCCAGTAAACACCACGGCAAGGTATCACACTCATGGGAAGGCACAAACAAAACATTTCCACCACCACTCATAGACCAGACCCCCACGCCTTACCCCTTTCAGTACCAACCTGCACCAGAACAAAGACAAAACACTGGCATTAATGGCCGTATGCCTTGGCAGCAGATACGCTTCACAACTGCAATGCCTAACCAAAATAGGATTGATCTCTCCAGGCAGTTGAGCAATCAGCAGCTTACTTTTTTGATAGGCCCATCAGACTGGCAAGATGACAATAAGCCACACAAAAACATCAACCATAAAGATTCTAACAACTTTCTCAACAAAAAGAAAAATAATGGCTTCTCAAACCAAAAGCAGGACAGTGTCAAGCAAGGCTGCAACACAATTCCACAGAGTCATTTTACAAATAAGCTGGATACAAATCAAGGCCAGGTGGGTGATGGCAATAATAAGTCATTATACTTTGGTATTAACCACCCAGTGCCAGTTACATCAAGAAACTTTAGCTACAATCCATTACATGTAGCATCCTTAGGGCTGAAGATGGTGTCACCATATGACTCTCCTTCACGTTCACCCACTCAAAATCCAGCATCTAGCAGTACGTGTTCATCACTCTCCCCAGCCTCTACAAACTCTGTCAACAGTAACTCTGATGACAGCCAAATTTCAAAGGTTCTATCCCCTCAGTTTTTTCAGCAGCAACAGGATAAAGTATTGATATCATCTAATAACATGAACACTAACCAGCATCTCTACCATTCAGATGCTTCCAGAGACTTGCACTATAAACAAGAAAGAGCCAAAGAAAACACGGCAAGTTTCATGCCACATAACAGGCATTCAAAGTCCAACATGGACAATGGAAAAGGTTGTTTGGAGACCTACAGAACAGAAAACCATCCCCCACCTCCATACTCTGCCCACCAACTCGCCACATCATTAGTCTCAGCAAACCTTGACCAACTGGATGTGCTTCTGACATGCAAGCAATGTGATCAGAATTTTAATAACCTTGTCTCTTTTCTTGACCATAAGCAATACTGTGGACAGCATACATTTGTACAAAATGACTTAAAAGATGTGCCAAAAGTGGAAGAAATAAGGAAGTTTCAGACGGACCACACAAAAGCCATGTCATCTGGATCCAGTTATGCAATTTTGCGAAGTTCTTCAGATTTGCATCTGTCTCTGCTTGGACTGAACAAGAATGGGGAAATAGTGCCAGATAATGAAACCAAAGGAGATTTAAAAGATGATTCAATGAAACTGATGCTACCATCTGCACCCTTGCCAGATTTAGAAATGGAAGATCCCAAATTGGATAGCCTTATCACAGAGGCTTTGAATGGACTAGGCTATCAGTCAGACAACGCAGAAATTGATAGCAGCTTTATTGATGCATTTGTTGATGATGACCTCACCACTACTAAATGTACATCAACAAGACAGGCTTTGACTACCAAAGACTCCACGATATTTGAAGATAGAACTAACAATGAATCAACATCTAGTGAGAGATCTCAAGCTCACTGCAAATATCCTTTTGACTCAGACTTAGACGGCCTTAGTTTAGACAGCAAACACACAGATATCCCTTACAAAGAAAGCCAACACGAGTTGATACAAAAGGAAGGCCTTAAAGCAGAATCCTCTCCAACCGAGTCCCAGCCACAGGAGTCAAATTGCACACAAATGGAGTGGGAAGCAAGAAAGTCAGAACAAACAGAACACAAAAATGATTACAGTTCTAAGTTTCTTTTATCAAGCAATTTTTCTGCAAGATGTGGGCTTAAAAGCCTGCAAAGCAGCACAGCTTTAGTTAAAACAACATGTCCCAGATCCACCTGTGCCAACAAAAGTCCAACGGCTCAGAAACCAATAGCAACAGAAGGAAAAAGGAAAAGGACAGGTGGTGGAAGCTGGAGTAAAGAGCTTATTCACAAAATTGTTCAACAAAAGAACAAGTTGCATAAACTCCATGTAAAGGGCACTAAAAACATGCAGTTTTCACTTGTGATGGAGAGAGTGACTCCCACAGTGCAGAACCCTACTTTCAGGGAATATGATTACGTTTCTGACTCAGATGACGACTGTGAACCCGTAAAGATAGCCAGTCAGGGACGTCTCAGCCAGAGCATTCGCTGCAAGTACACATACACTAAAGAGTGTAAGGGGAGGATTTGTGCTGACAAGAGCCGGGAAAGTTCATGGAAACAAAACAAAAATGAGTCCTTTGATCCCAAGAAAGATTTTGATGTCTCTCCATCCTTGATGAAAGACAACCGTGGTCACAAAAGGCTACGAAGACGGAGCAGTAGGTCTTCCACAAGCAGTGAACTCAGCACATCAATAAGTATTTGTAGCGATAGCATTGGCAGCCCAAAAAGTATTGATCATACAGATTCAGACTCTGAGAAAAGAACAGAAGTACAGAGGAAAGATCAAGACACGCTTGAGCAGAATGTGTACAGGGAATCCCCACCAAGGATACGGAAAGAGTCTAGCACATCACTTGCTTTGACCTTCACAAAAAATACAAAAAGGTACAGCACTGATAAGATACTACTCACTGAGCAAAAGGACCAATTCACTACTTCAAAATGTTCAAGCATTATCTGTAAGACTGAAGAGACTGCATCTGAGCGTACAATGACTAAAAGTACTGTCAGCCTCGCAAGATTCAAAACCACCACAGTGGAAATAGAGGGAAAAGAGGACCACTATGGTTTTGAGGCAGGAATTCTTGCAACCACGGAAGAGCCATTCAAAAAAGATTACCCAAAAAATATCACATCACCAAGAGGGTCAGGCATAACACTGAGTCCAATGGAAACGACAAACAATAAAGATTCTAACCATGTTTTTACACTCACAAAAGATGCTGTTGCATCAAAGGGTAAATCCCACAAGAGAACAAACAGTTCTGAATTTTCAGTACCCATTTTTGAGAAAGCCATCAATAACAACACATCAAGTGAAGAAGCCAACAGAAACTCAAATTATCTATTCTCTGAACCCCCACCTTTTTGCCCTTCACTTGTGGACAAAGTCTGCTTATCACCTTCAAAAGTCCATGATGCAGCTCAAAAGGATGTGCAATGTCTCATTCCCTATCCTTCGGAACATGATCAAAGTCTTATAAAATCACCTCTTTCTTTTGACACAACGTCAATGTTTGGTGACCTTTCTGTGGGAGGTTTTGAGAACAATCTTTATCCAGATATTCAGCTTGCTAAAGAGAGCTTCAGTCCTCTGGAAACCACAACAGATAAGAAGGAACTTTTTGAGTCGTCATTCTCAGAACAGAGAGACTGGAATCAGATGGTTAATGTTAGTCCTGTGCTACCAGATGAGATTTCTCAGTACAAAGAATACTCTGACTCAAATGAGAATAAGACCAATTTTAACTATGTCCCATTTGCTTTGTCAGAGAAATTAACGGACTACACTCCTAATCTCAACAACGTGTCAGTTGATGATCTGGAAATAAAAAGAATTGTTACAGAGCTTGAGAGTCAGCTGCAAACAGCCAAGCTCAGCAGCCCTCCACCATTAGACAGTGAGCTAACAAAACAGCTTACCATGAGCAAATTCTCTCCACTGAGACTTGACCCTGAAAGTGAAGATGAGGGCAGTAGCTTGCAGATAAACTGTTCCTCAGAGAACCTGGATATTGCCAGACCAGTAGACTCAAATTCAGCACTGTTCTCAGAACCTGACTTACCATGGTCTAGTCCACTCTCATTTGGATTGATGTGTGGACAGCAAGGTCTTCATACACCAACACATTCATCTACTATCAACACGCCAACTGATTCAGGACATGAACATTTGGATATAAAGGGCAGCATGGGGCTCACTGATTTGAACACAGAAAACAGTTCACCTCTGCACGAAGACATAAAAACAGAAAATAATGAGTGCTTGGACAAGTCAGAAGAGATGCTTGAACATGAAATCTACACAGAAAATCTGATGAAGAGCCTGGAAGTAATCTCAGATTCTTTGTCTTCAGGTTTTACATCACCTCAGTCATCTCCTAATCAAGAGTGTGTGGTTCCTGAGGAACATGAAAAACAAGACAATGAATACTCAGAAGACATTGAGTCTGAATATGTTGAATTTAGAAACACAGAAGCAGAGCTCACAAAGTTCTCAGTGGAGACAAATGCATTTTCAGATAAACTAGAAGAGAAAACCAGTGGCATTTCAGAGTCAGAAAATGAAACCAAAGCCAGCCTAAATGAGACTAGTAATGACACACTTCATGATGAAGATTTAATAGCTAATGAACAACAGCTTGCTGAGAGCTCCTTTAAGAGTCCACAAACTGGATGCTGTGTGAACTCAAATGAAATTGACTCAGTGAAGTCTTCAGTCTCTAGATATGAACACAACCATGAGTCATCTGTCAGCCAAACCGAGAATGCTGAGTGTGATACACAGTTTGACTTGAAAGACTCATTGTATATTACCAATAGTCCAGACTTCTCCAAAATATCACACTTTTCAACATACCCAGCCATACCAAAAGACAAAAACATGCTGTGTGTTGAAAAAACACAGAAATGTGATGACGATTCAGCTCTAATTGCACAGCCAGAACTAATTTCTAAAGGCAACAGGCAGGCATCTGACAAAACAGGTGGAACAACAGACTGTCCTTCTGATACAAACATCCAACCACCCCTTTCAAACATCAAGTCTCCTCTTGGTCAAGCCAATTTGTCAATCCATTCACAATTAAATAATAGACAAAGGGTGGCTTCTCCTAAACTTCTTCCTGTAGTTCAAGATGAACATGACTGTACAGAGTGTGTGGAGAGAGCCATGCCTGATATGACATTTCCTGTGCAATCAGAATGTGAAGAAAATCAACAGAAGAACATTGAGCAAAGTCCTCAACTTTATACTGTGACTCAAGCACCACAGTTTTCTCACAACTCTATCCAAAGCCCTTGTGAACTGAGAGATAATGGTTCACTACCAGGCACAGTTACCCCTGCACTGAGCAAAAACAGACAAGACCTGGAAGATGACAACTTAGATCACAAAAATATTGGCGGGTCAGTAGATACTTATGAATTATCTAATTCTGGTGTTGCTGAATCAGTTGTTCCCCATCAGGATTTAGTAAAAATCACAGAGAGTAAAATTTCTAACTCTGGAACACTGTTAGCTGTGGAGGACATCATCTCAAAACAAATTTTTGGTGAGACTTCTCTGCATTCTAGGCCATTGGATGGCTCTCAGGATACAGGTGCACTGTATGATTTGAAACTCAGCCCCCTGAATTACAGTGAAACATGCTTCAATGACTACAACTTCACCTCTAAATGTTTAAACAAAGGAAATGACCAGTCTGATGTAAAATCAAACTCCGCAGACAATTACATTCTCAATGCCTGTGCTTTCTCTCTTGATAAACCTTTGTCATCCAGCCTACCGTATAATGCAAATGAACCAGAGCCAAATATCCAGGGCCATCTGATTGGACTTGATATAGCCGAAAACTCTATAAATGAAAACATCCAAAATGATATAAAACATTCAAATGTATCAGCTTCCTGCAGTAATTATGTTGAGGATGTCACTACAATTGACTCTGAACAAGTCTCAAACCTTAACCAGAGTTACATGAATGGTACTCATGTTAATGGTACTCATGTTCCACATGAAACTGTTGATTACATGGATCTGCAACTCACACTTCTCAAGAAAGTAGATTCTGAGAAGATAGACAATCAGATGATCACCAATGAGCATGATGCAATGCAGAGGTCCACCATGTTAGATGTGAAGGAGACATCTAAACCTCTGATACCTTGTGAAAAAGCAGAATCTGTGGGTCTTGCATGCACATCTGTCCAAAATGAAGGACAGAGTCTAAGGTCAAGTGAGACAAAATCCTCACCTAAAAAGGGTGGTACACAGAATGCAATTCATGGAAAATTTCAGTGTGAAATATGTGCAATGTTCTTTCGTACACATCCTGGACTTAAAAGACATAAAGCCATGAAGCATGTAGTAAAGACTGAAGGGATTTCGCCCATTGAACATGTAAATATGAGTAGTCAATTGTCTAAGCCCATTTATAATATGTCACACCCAACAGAAAAAGCACTGAAAGATAGCATGGATGTTATGGGTCCAGCAGTTCTTTCACATTTAAACAGAAATGAAATCTCAGATGGACAAGGACAGAAAACAGATGCACATTTGATCTTCGAAGGGATTCCAAGTGATTCTGATATGCCAAAGATCCCAGAAAGTTGTGATACTGATCAGACAACTCTTGTTAATGAAAGGGAAAATAACGGTATCAATACCATGGACACACGCAGTGAAATGTTTTCTCCAAAATTGGCAAAGCAAGACACTTTTTCAGATGAAATACTCAGTACTCTTAAAACAGATATTTTGCAGGCTATATGTCTAGATTCCCCCTCAATGGTGCAACAAAACTCTCCTAAGTCACCTGAAAAACAGATTCCGGGTAGCAGTAACAGCTATCATGAAGTCAATGTGAGAGAGGAACTGAAGAGCATGGTAACTATCAGCACTGAAGAGCAAAAGGAAGAAACAATTTCTACCACAGAGACTTCGAATTTACATAAGAAAGGTGACACATATGACATTGACGATGTTGTAAAGCATTGTGAAAACCCAAAATATGTTCAGACAGAGGATATCCACTATCCACTTGGTGATTCTTCTGTGGATATTAAGCGTGAGAACACCTCTTCTCCCACAGAAGACAGTCACATGCTTACTGGTACTTTAGGAATGGGACCTGATCTTAAGGCTTTCTTTGATGATGAAAATACTTTTTCTCAGTTATTCCCAAGAAATGATGACAGGAAAAGAAAGAAATGTGCAAGGGTCTATGGTAAAAGCAACAAAAAGCAAAAACAACTGTCCTGTTTAGTTTTAGACTGTCCTAGCACTGGTGCCTTTATTGACAAGTATGTAGAGTCTAAAGAAAACAAGTTGGGACACATGTTCACCAACGGCGCAAATGACCCTTGTGAATATGAAACCATATCAATCGACAATGATAATATGCATGCGATGACTCCCAAAAGCTTAGTCAACAGCTCTATAGAGAACGCTTGTCATTCAAAAGATGGCTTAATGGATCACCAGGCTGGTTACGAGGAAAATGCAGAAACTGGCATTAAAGAATTCTTATGTGAGAATGAGGGCACAATTAGACAATCCTTAAAACACCAGGATGATGCACATGATTGCGCTGTGCCAGAAAATACAGTGTCATCAGTTCCTCAGGAAGATTGTAAACCAGAGGTTCCTGATACAGCTTGCCCACTCCAACTAGTCTGTGTTCAAGAAAATGCCTCTTGTTCACCAAGCATTGAGATACCAAACCATGACACTACAATTCAGATTCCTGTACCCTTTTTTGAGCCTGAGAAAGATATTCCTTTGGTTGCGACAATTGCAAGCACAGAACTGAAAGACCCTGTAAGACCTTGCAAAAAGCCTATGGAGCGGAAGTGTAGGAAACGCGTAGAACCGGGACTCAAACCAAAGGATAAGCAGTACAAATGCAAGGTGTGTTTCACATGGTTTCTCACCTTAGGTGAGCTCGACTTCCACAAGCTCTCTCACAATCCATCACCTCCCCCAACTTGCTATATGTGTGTCCAGCGCAAGTTTACCTCCCGGGAACAGCTTAGGGACCATCTCAGGGAGAAACACGCCAAAAACAAAGCAGGTGTTTGGACTTGTGGGATGTGTTTGAAAGAAATTTCAGATGTCTGGATGTACAATGAACACTTGCGTGAGCATGCCACACAGTTTGCCCGAAGAGGGCAGTCTCAGAGTTCCCTCTTGGATATGCCTGGGTGTTTCATGCAAGAAAATGCTGTGAAGAACTTCATATCTTCAATAATGCAGCATCGGCACAGCAGACCTGCAAGAGACAATGTTAAACCATCATCTAAGGAAGAGAGAAGAACATCTTTTGATGTTAATGGACAAGACCCAAAGGTTCCAGAGGAGTCTTCCACAATTCTGAAGACTAAAACGAGTATTGGGGGAGGAAATAAGCACTGCGCACTGACAACGCTTGAGGTTCTACCTAAAGCAGAGACTTCTAAAAATGCTGAGATGCATCCTAACTGCAAGGACCCTTCAAGGGACTGTCACCACTGTGGCAAGCAGTTTCCAAAGCCTTTCAAGCTCCAGCGCCATTTAGTGGTCCACAGCTTGCAAAAGATTTATCTTTGCCACAAATGCCCAGTATCCTACCAAGAGACAAAGGAGCTTAAAGACCACCTTAAAAATGAACATGACGAGACGAATGAGCCAGACTCAAAGCACACCACACTATATACTTGTGAACTCTGTGCTGATGTCATGCATGTAATCAAGAAGTCGTTCATCTGCAGTACCTGCAACTACACTTTTTCAAAAAAGGAACAGTTTGATCGTCACATGGAGAAACACCTAACTGGAGGGAACAAGATCTTCAAGTTCAGGGGAGTTGTGAGACCTTGCAAGCCTTTTTATTCAAAAGATGATAAATCTGACACACCACCAAGCAAAAAAAGGAAAGTAACTGAGAGCAGCTTAGACATCACAGTGTCACATATGCAAGGCATCAAATCAGTGTTGCCCATCATAGATAACACTGTAAAGAACATTACTGAGGAACATTCAACGCAAACAAACAATACCAGTGTGAAAATTGAAGATGAGGCTGAGGACTTCCCTGCAAGGGATATTATTGAGTGTATAGTGCAAACAGATTCTGCGGAACAGAGTCTTCCATCAACAGAGCCGAAGGAAGAAAATGAAAGCTCTTCTCCATCTTATGAAATGCAAGCAGATGATCCCAGGGAAGTCATTGCAACAGACAAAGGAGCTCTGACAGAGATTTGTGATGTTAAAATAGAAGATGACAGTTGCACCATTCCAACAACATTGTTAGTTTCCGAGATTGACATTTTGAGCATTACCAAACTTAACGAAGACACGGTGGAGACAAACCCTTCATTAAGTCTTGAAAATGCAAGTGAACAAGGGGAAATAAGGCACTCAAGTCAATGCACCTTTCAATTGTGTGGTCAAACAGACATAAATATACCAAAACAAGGCATGCAAGGGTCTTGTAATGACTTTGAACTCTCATCTGTGAAGCAGGATCAAAATAAACAAGATTTTCTGACTCATCACAGTGAACAGCTGACTACTTCTCTGACTAAGCACATAACTATGGTCAAATCTGAGGAAACTATGAAACAAAGTCTTGAAAATAACCTTAGTACCACTGATTCTGCACATCACACCAACAGCTCTAATACATGTGAAGACAAGGATTCAACCAAGCAACAGAAGAAGAGGAAAGATCTTAAGACACCTCACAGCTCTCAGAGAACGCAATCTCCAACTGCAAGGGAAAATTTGGGGATTGACCCAAGGGCCAAAAAGAAGTTCAGACCCAGCAGGTTTGAAAATATTGATGGACAAAGGAAAAATGAACTTCCCAATGACTATCCAGTGCTTACATCAGTAAAGGATGACACAGTCAGTAACAAAATAATCTCCAAGCATAAAATAGGTTCATCTAATCTGGGCCTTCACCTGAAGAAAGGTTCTGTAGATAGTTTCTCACCAAAAAAGGTTGAGATTGTACGTCACTTCACCGTAGATTGCAAAGGGAAAAAGAACATTCCTAGGAGACCCATCCATTCCCCTTCTTCCAGGATCTCCACCATGAACAATTCATTTAACAAATCACGGTCCAAGCCAGGGGTCAGATCCATAGAAACTCACTCATACCGTACTGCAGAGTCACAGAACAACCTCCTCAGCCAGCTGTTTGGCCAAAGACTAACTAGCTTTAAAATTCCTTTAAGGAAGGACACTTCTGAATCAATTAAGGATTAAATGAATGCTATTAACGAGGAAGTAATTAAGTGATCCACTAGGCATGTGATTAAGGCAGTGTATTCATGATACTTGGATTGTATGGCCCTCCTCTGTGAAATAATTTAACTCCTTGTTTAGTCACTTTATTGCATTCCTCTTGTAAATGTGTATTTACATATATGTGAAGACCAACAACAAAATGTATGAATATAGGATGAATATGTTGGTTACAAATTTATTTTCTCTATTTTATAGTGAAGCATTATCTCTAAGAGACTGTATTTCAGCAACAACAAAGAAAGGTTTTTGGGAAAGAATTTACTTGAAAATGAACTGAGAATATTTGTTTTTCAAATAATGCATGACACTTTAACATTACATGTTCTTAGATGTTTTCCTAGCAACAGGACCAAAACACATCCTAAGTCTGGATCATGTCAATGTGCTTTATTTTATATGCTTCAGAGAATTACTCCTTCATACTCTTTTACTTTACTGTATTGTGGAGACACTCATTAGTATTAGCATTTGTATCATCATCACTAATTGGTGCTATGTTATTTTATAATTATTATTTTTGTGTAATGTGAACACAATGTCTTATAACTGAAGGGAACATGTAGCAATTACACTCATTCAATCATTGCTGGTACTCAGTTTTAGAGGAAATTACACAAACATACTGTGTAAGATCAATCAAAAAGAAAGGGTTTATGTGTGTCCTAATTTGATCTGTTCAGAGGAGGGCAAGGGAAAAGCCTTTTCCAAAACTGTATTTAGTTTGATTTCATCTATAATATGAACTCAGGTGCTATTATTGCGCATGAAACCCTTATGAATTCTTCCCATGCACTGAGATGTTACCATACACAAACCCCACACATGATCATCTATATGTCCCCCAGTTCTTTAATAATTACTATTTACAAGAACAAAAGGTGCTTTGTCATGTTTATATGTATCTTATATTGTATAATATTGTAGGTTGATTATTTCCAGTGCAATGCATAATGTCAAAGTTCTATTTTAATAATGTGCAAAAGATGAAGAGAAAAAAGAAAGCAAAATACAAACAAAGCCTACTTAAGGCTTATGAGTGGATCACAAAGTGCATCATATAAACTTGGTTATTAAATTTTTTTGCATCAAGTCTTTTGTTTCTTTGTCATTCTGGTGGTTTCCTTATTTCATGCTGTGGATCTGTCAAAATGAAAGTGTGCTTAAAACTTCTCACAATGCAATGTGAAAGAATGAACTGTGCGAAGTGTGCAATAAGAAATGGAGAGTACAAGGTTTTTTTAATCAGTCAAGAACTTCACTGAATCCTTTGAATTCACATTTAATGATCACTTAAATTGACATTCACAATGAAAATGTGAAGATCATAGAGCCATCAAGGGTTGACAACCTGTTTTTAGTAGGGAGAATGACAGCTTTGATCCGGACAAAGACATGACATCTTCAAAAGCAATTGTGTAACAAATCTCTTACCTGAAAAATAAGGTGGATATTGGGGTCCAAAACGAAGACCACTAGTAAAAATGCTTGTATTTTTTTTTTTTTTTTTTTTTTTTTTTAAATGATACCATAAGCATAACAATTAGAGTGCAAAACTCAAGCTTATATGAACTGCGTAAGTTTGTTGTGTAAAACCTGATGATTAAGTTATCCAGCATGATTTGAGAATGTTCCAAATAGTATCTCAAATGTCACAAACTCGCTTATTTGTTTCACTCATTTTTTGTAAAGTATCTCAAAATACTAAACCTTGATTTTTTTCCAAGTTTAAATTAGATTTTGAATCCTAATCCAGTATGGTCTGACTTTTGAACCCCACTGTGTTTATGCAAATTTTAATTCCTAAATCTATTAATTCATTTTAAATAGTTTTCCATCCAGTAACTCCACACTATGATCTAATGACAATAACTCTAATTCTAAGTCTAGAGTAAACAGTACTGACTTTGCTCAAAAACAATGGCACATCATTCCATAATCATTTATACACAATTGCACAATAATTACCCAAATAAGATCTTCTACTGTTTAAGCAAATGCACATCACAAACAACAGGAAATAAAGTTTAGGCTAACTGTTTGACTAACTTCACTTATTTGTTGTTCAGAAAAGGACTAACAGACAAGTCCTTTCAGGCTGATTTATCACTTTGTGTTTAGTGGCTTGTATCCCTACATGAGCCTATTCACCTTCACATAGGAATAAAAAGCCATAAGACACAACAGCTGTAATGGGAGCGCCGCAGTGAGGGAACTCCTTGGCTTTCAACAAAGACGTAGGGGCCCGTATTGGAGGCACCTGGTAGAAGAAAGAGAGGAAGAAAAAGGATTGATAACTAAAAAGGAGATGACAAAGCTAAACAGGCAGAAAGATAGATATGATAGTGTGAAATTGATATTATGATCTTAGCTATCATAGAGGCAATCATAATCTGTCACAGTAAGCGTCAGGAGCGAGGCATTTCCAAGACAGCTATATTTCAGTGAGGTCTAATGCCTTAATCAATCATACCATGTGATACACACAAAAAAGCTTATGTAGCCGTGAATCTTGTAATTGCCACTGATTATACTCTTGGGTTTAAGCAAAACTGCAGCGAAACTCATGATTAAATGTTAATTTAATTATGCAAACAGTGATTAGTTCAATTATTCTGAGCAAATTTTACCACAATGGAAGGTGCTCATTAAACTACAGTAACTGATTACTAATGGGTGAATTTATATGCAGAATAAAAAAAAAGCATCACAAATGGTCAGGGCAGCTGATTTGCATTATTGACAATCACTCAAGAAAAAAAAAACTTTTCATTGCATTTTCATGCATGAGTGCTGTTTGTTGGTGCCAAGCAATAATTGTACATCTTGTCAGGGCTGTTCTGATCATTTCATCTTTGAGCAAAATCTCCTGGGAGACAGCACAGCTTTGCTCTTTGAAGTGGAGTGACATTATCACTGGCTGGCCCTGAAAATAGCATCAGTTTCGCCATACTGCCACTCACAGAGGGCTGGAGATCAGGGCCAGATAGAAATGGGCGACTGGTCAGCGGTAATGACATGGAGTCTAAAGGGAACAGAGGCCATCTTCAATCTCACCTTTCAATCCCAGCAACCCTCAGTCCCCATTCAGCAGCGTATAGTGCCACTCACAGCTTTGGCATTGATGGAAAATTACTAGGAATTCCATCACATTGCCCCAATGTCAGAGATGGAGAGTGACAGCGGGAGAAAAAATGATAAATGTGACTATTTGGTTCGGGGAGAGCTTTCGAGCTCCCTATGCCACAACACAATATTTAATCAGGGGTAGGGGTGGTGGTGGTGGTGGTGTGTGTGGGTGAGTCATTTTGCTGTTAATTTATGACTCATTTGGGGGATAATACCAGGCTGTCATCCATTTACATCATTACGAGTAAAGGTGATTTGATGAGAAGGTTCCCAGTGCTGGAAAACAGGAAATGCAACACAGGTAATGCCTTCAATGGAGGATGCCCATGTGTAAACCAGCATGAGTTATGATTGTGAATTGTCAGGATCAAGGACCTGAATGAAAAGCCATTACGCAAGCCCCCAGCACTTCATCACAATGCCAAACAAAGGACAGCCTTACAAATCTAAATCAGTCCTACTTCAGTTGGTTTTATTTCCAACCCATTACTGTTTAATGAATATGAAACAAAAAATAATTGGATAACACTTTTTATGATGACTGCATATATAACAATGCATTAGAAAACTATTCGTAATGCTTTATAATGCCTAATAATGTACTTAATAATTTGCATGTTCTGGTAAATTAACCCAGATATATTCCATTATAATACATATAACCCATATTATATTTTCCCAATGGATAATGGTATAATATAAATATTTATATCTAATAATTTAATGGCAAGTGAAACAAAATTCCTAAAACTAATATAACATGTTAATGCAATACTCACTTCAAAATTCAAAACAGACCCTTATAATTAGTGCATAAGTAGTGCATAATTAGTAGTAGGTAATGCATTTTACATTACACAGCTGTCAGTATCATTAAAAAGTCTTCATGTGTTAATTCAATATAACATTATTTGTTTTTGGAAAATTACAAACTAATTTTAAAACTGTACAAAATGCTACAGTAAAACTTTTAATCATCTACTATAACATTATATGGATTTTGCAAGTAAATTTTTTATTTTATGTTACCATATAATTTACAATGAAAGGTTGTGTACATTAAGTTGACCATGTGCACCATCTATATGCGAGTATTGGCCATGTTTTATTGACAGGCCACTGACGATGAATTGCTATTATGGGATACATAATTGTTATTATGGTAGTTATCAGTATATTAAGTGAACATAAATAAAAATACAGTTATATACCGTATAATGAAAACAGTATAATTTCGACTTTAAACAGTATAATGCTTCAAAACATAAGCAGTCTTCATAGAAAGTGTGACCAAAGATTGTTTTCAAAGCTCCATGTCACAGCTCTACTGATCCTCCGTGCTTCATGAGTTTTAGATTCACCTGTCAGCATGAGAAAAACACTTTAAAGACACGACTGTGGTAAAGACAACAAAAGTGACGGTCCCTCAACAGCCTGCGCAGTCAAACTGCTCCTCAATGTTTCCTTAA